ATTAATTATTATATTATTATTATATTATTATTATAATTAAATATAATTAAATATAATTTTATCAATATAATATATAATATATTATAAAATAATATTTACAATATCATATTATAATTATAATATTATAATATTAAATAATTATGATATTATTATAATATCATATTATATGATAAAATAATAATATTATTGTTATTAATATAATTATGATATTATTTATTATAATATTAAGAGTCTGAATTTTAAATTGAGAAGATTGTAAATCTTAAATTTTATTAGGAGTATTATGGGTATTATGAAAGTTTCATTAATTATACTATGCTGATTCTCGCACAATCTAAAAGTTAAAGTTGTCTTTAGACTGCTTCTAATTTTGGCTGTAAATTCTTAAAAAATTCTTCAAAAAATACTTTTGAGGAGATTTATTAAACACTAAAATTAAGTTATGTTACAAACATAAATTGATTTTGAGAAAGAAAAATAATACCAAACTAAATCAAAATCTCATCGCAATCCGATCCAGAGATTCAGGTCGAACCTGGCTGGACCCTTTTAACCCTGTCCAAACTTACTATATATCCACGAGAAAATAAGCCTTGGTGTATGAATGTGTAAAGTGCCTTTAGCCGCCAGCGTGGGGACCAAAAGCCCGCGTCTAGAACTGGGACCCACCACTACGCACCTAATGACCAATACATTTACTTCGCGCCACTTGCGCCTAGAAAGGTCAAACACCAAGGCGCTCACTTGTCTCCCTCGCGGCGTGTCCTCATTTGCTTAATCAATAAGACTCGGTCAAATGTGCAAACGACCCCTACGCAATAAGTGCCCCTTGAGCCACTCCTCTTTCAAAATCCAATACATTGTCCGAACAAACCATCACAAGAACTTCTCTAACTTTATCATTAATTAGGCGCAGCCAAAAATAAAATAAAAATAAAGGTATTTTTGTGCATTTATCTCTTAAATTTATAGGGTGCGTTTATAATTCATTTTAAAATAATTTTATTTTTTATATAAAAATAAAAATAAAAATATTTTTAATCTCAAATAAAAATTATTTTTAAAAATACGTTTAATAGTTTTATTAAGAGAATATTTTTAATATAAAAAAATTCATTAATGTCTCTATCTGTTTCTCTCTGCTCGATAGAGGAGAAAATAAAAATAAAAAATAAAAAATAATTAAAAATTATTTTTCATTTCTCTCTCATTTTACACTAAACGACAAATAGTTTTCATTTTTTTTTTATTTTTATTACGCCAAACGTGATTTTAGAACGTTTTTATTTTTTTTCTCAAAATGCGTGAAAAATAAAAATGAGATCAATTCTAAATATGGTCATAGAGTCTTCACAACTTACCCATACTTTCTAATTTTCAAAATTTATGCTAACTCAATTTTTAAAATTGTTACAATAATGTCCCATTTTATTGATAATTATACCAAATTGTTATGAAAAAGCGCGTTCAATAAAAAAAAAAATTACAAATCCTAATTCAAACCCTCTGAGCCCATGCTTGGTTCAATGATTTGAACAAAAAAATTCACAATACAAATTAGGCCAAGGTCCAAATTATTGATTGGTAACAATTCGAACCACTTGGAACTAAGATCCAACTTCTAAGCCTAGAATCCGTAGTTCACCTCCCCTAAAATTCCAACAATTCGAACCTCTATGTCGCAGTGAAAACTGTTGCTTTTGTTTTTTTTTGTTTTTTTTTTCCCTTCTCGCTTATACTTTAAGCTTTAAAATATCATAATTTTTTGCTTCAATTCCAATTAAGATTATTAAAATGTTTCATTCACAATAAGTCAGTTTATAAGATTTGTTACATGTAGTTTTCAACACTTTATCTAAAAGTTTATTTAACTTTGAATTATAATTTATTTACATATCTAAACATCAGTTTCAATCACCCTAATTCAAATTTCTCTCTTCAAATTACCCCAACTCAACCACCACAATTTGAACAAATGAATCAAATAGGGCTACAATTCATTTCTTAAATTTGATAAATAAATAAATAAATAAATAACAAGAGAAAATTAACAAAATGAGATACATCACAACAATTTAATAATGGGAGTTTCTCCGGTATTCCCTTCTTTTTAAGAACACTAGTATTTCTTGTTTTTTCGGCAGTTAGATTTGGTCAAAATCACATCTGATTAAAAAAAATATGCAGAACAGACAGATTCTAATATAGATCTAAAGACTGAAAAAATAGAAAATACCAGTATTCTTAAAAAAAACCTAAAAAAGTCCCTTTAATAATTTACAAAACGAGATACATCATAGCAATTTAATAAATTATAGCTGAGGTAAGTTGTCAAGATGTTATGGATGCGTTTAGAGTTATTTTTATTTTTCACGTTTTTTGAGAAAGAAAAAATGAAAACATGAGAGAAACTGTGATTAACGCTAAAAAATGTTGTTCACAAGCGGTCAATTGTAGCATAAAAGGGCGGGCATATCCACAGAGAGGTAACAAAATTACAAGAAAGATTAACAAAATAAGAGCGTTAGAAAAAATTAAATAACAAGTGAATTAAAGAAAAATTAGAGTTTTTGAGATTTTTGTTGCAAATAAAATAAAAAGAAGAAAATTTGTATGAAGAAAATTCAATCGTAAAAACGGTAAGGTGTCGAGAATCCATATTGTTTCGTTCACCAATTCAAGTTCTGATTCACAAAATAAAAGGATTGAATAAATTAAATCTCTGTGTTGACTTTGCAAATATTATCATTACCAGTTATCCAAAATCGACAATATATCAATTTGATAATATTACAATAAAAGACAATTTGTAAAATAATTTAAATTGAGAGATTTACATAAAAAAAAAATGTGATTGAACTTATATAAAAATTAAAACATAATATTTTAAAAAATAAATAAAAGATAGATGAGTTTTAATTCATTCAAATATTGAACTTTACAGTACAAATAATCAAAAGCCCAAACTGGGTCACTCAACAAAAGTTTATCTCTAACCCCACCAAGAGAACTCTAACTTAACTTGTAAAACATTCTCACAAGTTCTAGAGAGAAAATATGAGGCTGACAGACAACAAGATGACATAAAATTGAATATTAAAAACTTATAAAAATCTTAAGTTAACCCTCTTATTTATAGTATTAAAAAATTATCTGTCAAATAAAAAAATAAATTATAAAAATAAAATTATACATAAATTATGAGAAATAAGATATATGATTTGAGCTGAAAATCAGGCAATTCGCCGAGAAGAAATCCGGACTGAGCACCTTATGGACACGTGTCAAAGCTTGGTTGAGGAAGGGAATCAAATTGCCACGTGTCGCGCGCCAGAGGAAGAGAACGCTGGCTGGAGAAGAGAGAAAATGGCCCGCGTGGACAGCTGGCGCGCGCGAAATGGCAGACACGGGACCCATGCGAGACAGGGGAGAACGCGCTGGTGAATGCGCGTCATACAAACGCGCTGTGTTGGCTGCGCGGTGCTGTTAACGCGTTGGGGGAAGCGTCGGAAGGCTGGGAAACGCGCAGACCACAGGGGCCCACGCGGAGTTGGCTTGGCGGCTCACTCTCTCTTTCTCGGCTTGGCGGCTTACTTTCCCTATAATGGCTCGGCTTGGTGGCTAAAAGTAGGTGAAAACATTATTTTTCATTACTTCTTCTTCTTCTTGTATAGCTTTTACTATTTTTTATCTTCAAATAATAAAATAAAAATTAAATAAATTTTAATTAAAAATATTCTAAATAAAAATAATAGAATTATTTAATTAAAATCTAAATAATTTAATATTATAAAGATTAAAAGTAGTATTTAAGGTATATTTTTATGTATTTATTAAATGGTGTTTTGTATAATTAAATATAAAAATAAAAATAAAAATTATTTTTTATTTAATATAAAATGAGAGAGAAATGAAAAATATTTTTTTTTTATTTTTTATTTTTATTTTTATAAAAAAAAATTATTTTACAACGAGTTTAAAATATAAGTTCGCAAATGTCAATACTAATAAAACTAACATACCTGTAAATACGTCCAGCTAAACCCCAACAAGAGAAAAATGTCAAAATCTCGTACTGAATTCCTGCACTTTCCCGTTGTCGTATCTTAAACGCATTCGAATGTCTGATTCCGACAAAGAATCCGAGAATCGCTTCTCGTTCCAAACAGTGCATTTCGCTTTTGAATCTCCTTCCTCCGAAACATCCTTGAAGTTTCTCTCCAACAGGTAAAGAATCTTTTTTTTTTCTTTTTCGTTTCCGAACGCGTTGCTTTAATGCTGTTTGTTTGGTTGTTGAGAAAATTGACCAAAAGTAAACGGGAAACCCAAAAGGCCAAAAGGTTTAAAACCTGATTGGTTTCAACGGAAAAAAAATGTTTCGTAACAGAATTTCGCCTCACACAGGGAATCGATTGCGAGAGTTCTCATCCGGTTCTCAGACTGTAGCCAGAGAGCTTCGGAATTTCGTTCAAAATTTTCTTTCCAAGAGGTTTTGTTTTAATTCTTCTTGATTTTTTTTTCCTTGTCGAACAAGGTTCAAAGAATTGGACGATTTTGACCCAAGTTTAGTGATAAAAGTGAATCTGATTCTTCTTCTGTTTTGGTATATTTCTCTCCTGGTTAAAAATATTTGGTGTTTGGATCAGATTCTTACTGTTTCCGTGATTCTCTTTTCATCAAAAAGCCAAAAAGATTTTCGCTTTTTCGTTTATCCAATTTCAGTCAAATGAAAATTATTGGACTTTTATATTTTGACATTTATTAAAGAAGATTAGTCTTTTTATTATTCTATGCTCTGCTTCTTATATGAATCTTCCTCTGAAAAGTTTATGTGAATTGGAAGATCCTGTTTCTGACCATGTTTCCTGTTTAAATTTTAAAATGTTGCAGTTGGGAAACAATCATGAGCCATATGAAATCTGAGAATATGCTGAAAGACTTTTACATTCCGGATTACCTTTTGTTACCGGGTTCGGAGCCTCCGGATGCTAGGGATATACCAGAATGTCCTGTCATAGTGTTTATAAATTCGAAAAGTGGCGGTCAGCTTGGGGGAGAACTCCTTGTTACATATAGATCACTTCTTAATAAGAATCAGGTGCTTTATTGGAAAGTTTGGGTGGTGGGATTTTGTGTTTTTAGATGCGATGAAAAGTTTGACTTTGAATTGATCGATTTTTCAGGTTTTTGACTTGGGAGAAAATGCTCCTGATAAGGTGTTGCACCAGCTTTATGCTAATCTGGGGAAACTCAAGCACAGTGGAGATGCTTTTGCTGCTGAAATTGAGAAGAGGCTGAGAATAATTGTGAGTCTTACATGTTTAGTTACCATGTCAAGTACGAAAATCTCGTAGACAGTTGAAAGTGCCTAGAGAATGGGACCTTTACTGATGTTGATTCGGCTCTGATATCTCATATAGATTTGGTTTAACAGGTTGCAGGTGGAGATGGTACAGCCGGCTGGCTCCTTGGAGTAGTTTCTGATCTTAAACTACCACAACCACCTCCAATTGCTACGGTGCCGCTAGGAACTGGAAACAACCTCCCGTTTTCATTTGGTTGGGTAAGAAATGAACTTTTTTTGTGTGTGTTTGAAAAGTAGTATAACGTTAATGCATCAGGATTCTCATGGCTATATATCTATTTGTCTTTTACCCCTTCTGCCTAGAACACTTGCAACGTTTTCAGTTTATTGAACAAAGATACCTTTATGAATTTAATCTCACGTTTTTTCTCAGAAATATAGTTATTATTTAGTGATTATCAGGGATGCAAAACTGTTTAGTCTCATTGACTCAATGTTGGGTTGTATTATCGCGCTAATTGGTCTGTCTGCAATGTACAGGGGAAGAAAAATCCTGGCACAGACCAACAATCTGTGGAGACTTTCTTGTATCAAGTAAGGGCAGCAAAGGAAATGAAAATCGACAGGTAACAAATTGATTATTTCATTTTTAACGAAAAAGGTCTTAATTGAGTACACCTAATAATGTGTAATCACTTCATAAATAGTTTGTTGTCAGACAATATCGTTTCAGTTTGAGTATTGATTTGAGTAAATTATGCAGTTTGCACCAGCTGTATGCATGCATGTATTTGACAAATTGATAACTTGAAGAATCAAAGAAAGGGCTGAAACTTTTTTCTTTTTGAAAAATTTGTAAAAATTTTGACTGTCAAAATAATAATTGAACTTAGTGATAAGTTCATCTTAGTCAATTAGCCAAACCTTGTTCATTTTAAAGGATTCGGAAAGTCTGGCTTGTGGTTTTTATGCAGTATACACTTTCCTTCTTAACTCTAACTAAGAAGAAGCTTACTGTTGGTGGATTACTGGATCTTTTATTCCAATATTAGGATTGAAAGGATTTTCTTTTATTTATTTGTTTATTAAACTTTCCCAATTTCAGCTGGCATATTATCATGAGAATGAGGGCTCCCAAGGAAGGCTCTTGCGAACCTATAGCACCTCTTGAGCTTCCCCATTCATTGCATGCTTTCCATCGCGTCTCCCAGACTGATGCTCTGAATGTGGTATGTCTTATTGTTCCACTCTTCTTTTTGTCTTTATAACGTAAAATGATGTATCAGCTTTCTAATGTACACAAACCATTTCCCATCAACTTTTCCTTCTTATGTTAGGCTATGGCCTTCTGAGTTCGCTTAAAGACTTATATTTAACTGGACCAAGGAAAACAAGATAACTGTTAAGAGGATAAGGATCGAAATGATAATTTTTCCATGGAACTCGTACGAACCAAACTGTTGCTTCTTAAATGTTACACTGCTTTGCGTGCTTATCACTTTCGTGTCTTTTTTCAGGAAGGCTACCACACTTATCGTGGAGGATTCTGGAACTATTTCAGCATGGGTAAGAATTCATGAGTTCCTTTACAAACTAACGTGATGTGTAGAAACTCCTCATATTAGGGGGGGGGAGGGGCGAGTGATGCATAGAAACGGCTATTAAAATATTATTGTTAATCATATAACGGAAAATAAGAAGTATTACTATTTAATAGTCAACCTTTGGCTATATATAGAAATGTTCCATTTCACTTTGTTCATTTAGTTCTTGCGTGGAAAAAAAGTTGAATTATTACAATGATATTCTGATTCCTCTATTTACAATGCATAATACCTTCAAGAATACAAAGAAAATGCTAGTTCTAGTTTAGTACCGAGTAGTAGCTAGCAATTACCATTATATAATCTCACCAACCGAAAAGAAAAAAACACTAACATTGTATCAATATACTTGCTCAGTTTCTTAGAGTATATATGTCGTCCTGTACAGGAATGGATGCTCAAGTATCATATGCTTTCCACTCTGAAAGGAAGTTGCATCCAGAAAAGTATAAAAATCAATTGGTTAATCAGGTACTTGCGTTATTCTCTGCACTTCGTAATATAGTTACTATTACAATATGTGCTTATCCACTGTTAAGTTTATGGTGCTAAGATTATCCGTCTTAGCTTGTGATCTCTTGAAACTCATCCAAATGTATAATAGTACGTCGTAGCCAAAAAAACAAAAACAAAAAAACAAAAAAGTGTTATAGAACTGAAACTTATCTCTCATTTTTCCCCTTTTCTTTTTGGACTGTTTCAGAGCACTTATTTGAAGCTTGGATGCACTCAAGGATGGTTTTGCGCTTCTCTACTTCATCCCGCTTCAAAGTTAGTATTTTTTCTCATTGTTCACCAAAATTAAATAAGTAATAAAGGATAGACTCTTAGGACTGGCTTCAATTTGCAATATTCTAAATTAAAGAAGAAAAGTGCCTCTCCATGGGGGAATTGTGAAGAACAAAACCTCGTTCTTGAGACTTTAAAATTGAATCAGCTCTTTCTGCTTTGGTGATATGTATGGTTAACAATGCCATTGTCTCAAAACAGGAACATAGCACAGCTCACAAAGATTATGGTCATGAAGAAACAAGGTCAATGGGAGGAACTCTCGATACCTCACAGGTGATGAGCAAAACAAAACCTTCTATTCGCATATGGTCTAAACTCAGATTGGAGGTTTCATCACGCTCCGATTTTAATGCCAATCACATTCGCTTCCCCATTATGGTTCCATTCAAAATCATTTTTTATTTATTTGCCCTTTTCAACTTTGATTTTTCAGCATAAGGTCTATTGTTTGCCTCAACTTGCCTAGCTTCTCTGGGGGACTCAATCCATGGGGAAAGCCCCATGGAAGGAAACTGCGAGATGTTAGTATTTCTCAATTCTTATCCTCTTTGTTTCATTGATAGGCTGTTAACAAGCTTTTGCTTATGCTCAATTTGTTTCACCAACACAGATTGACTAGTACTTTAATTTCTTCTTTTCAGAGGGATTTGACTCCTCCTTACGTAGATGACGGCCTTCTTGAGATTGTTGGTTTCAGAAACGGTTGGCATGGACTTGTCTTGCTTGCTCCTAAAGGTCATGGCACTCGTCTTGCACAGGTACCAATGCACATATTCGATTATTGGCAGTTTACTTCTTTAGTGCTTTTGCAAGTTGCTCCACATACTTTTTTATTTTGAGAATTCTCTCTCTAAACTTGTCAAATTATTGTAACGTGGCTCAAAGTGATACCGCTGTTTAAATTGGTGACGAGAAAAGGTAATTAAGTGACGATAAGAACTCATAAGAAATTTGTCAAAACACGAAAAATTCTAAGGGGGTAAAATGAGGCACAAGGGGATATTTCGATAACCAATTTAAATGACGTTATTAATTTAGGTCAGATCGCAAAGGTTTGATAAGCGCTGGAAATTATGGAGCAGTTTGCCAAAACACAAAAGATGTAGGGGCAATAGTGCTAAAAACCCAACATCTATTTAACCAAATTCTCTCACCAAGTCATCATTGTGAGAAACTTATCCATATTCTTTTATCTCGTCTCTTAACACTCCAATGTCTTACATTGCAAACATAGGCAAGCGGAGTTCGTTTTGAGTTTCAAAAGGGTGCAGCCAACCATACATTCATGAGAATAGACGGCGAGCCATGGAAACAACCTCTCCCAAACGACGACGACACAGTTGTTGTGGAAATCACTCACTTTGGTCAAGTGAGCATGCTTGCCAGACCATCATGTCGTTCCAAAAGCGTGTATGATCCCTCTTCTCCAGCAAGTTATGGGGATGAAGATGAAGATAGCTTTGAAGACGACAGTACAGAAGATTCAGAGGAGAGAAGAAAATTTGGTGCAGCAGATACTTTTAAATTTCCGGAAGGGTTTGACATTGCTCATCTCAGTTAAGCCGCTAACCAAATACCATTGTTCGCTCGCCTTTCTTTGTACAGAAAGCTTTATAATTCCTCTACTGATTGGCTCTTTTAAGTGTTTGATTGATTGATTGAATAACATCACTTGAAACCCACATTAGTTGTGGTCCAACTATATCAGATTTGGCCACATTGTACAATGATAGTTTCTGTTCTTTTTCTTAATTACTCTTTTTTTTTTTTTTGGTCTCCCATTAAGTAGTTATTCTTTGATCTTGTAATTTGGACACAGATGTAAATATCTGAGTGCATCCACATTTTTTTTTTGTTCATTTGTTACATCATTCACATGTTGATTTTTTTTTTCCCCTGTTTTTGTCTCCTTTAGTTCCACTAATTTTTTTTTCCTTGGATAATCCTGCCATCATTTTGTCTCTTACGATATAGTGTTCATCTTCCTCCAACTTTCCTTCAATTAATATTTTTTAGTCCTTATAAACCAATCTGGACTCCAAAATCTATACGTAGTTTTCACTACTCTTTTACAGACTACAGTAACCATCTAATACGATCGATCACTTGCGTATTAAGATGTAAAACAGACACAGCTATTTATCAAAAATTTCCGCAAAATTCTTGATTGACACTTTTGAAATTCAATTTTTTTCGCACTTTTGTTTGACACACTTGATGCAAATATTTTACACTTTCTTGTCCAATAATGCAAGCAGTTTTGTTTTACAATACTAGCTAGTGCCAAAAAAACCATTGGCTTTATTTCCCAATTCTCAATTCCCAAGGTTATAAACTTGTGCGCACTTTTCCTATATAAGAAAACCATCCCCACCTAATTAATCTCATCAACAAAGCAAGCAAATTATACCAATTCCCGAGTTCCTTTTCTTTCTCGTAATTTCCTTTCTAAGCAAAAAGATTATAAGAAACCAGAATGGCTTCAGCAAGAAGATCAGCTTTGGTTATGGCAGCAAGCAATGGAGCAGTTGAGGCCTTGAAAGACCAATTAGGAGTTTGCAGATGGAATTTTGTTTTAAGGTCGCTTCAACAAAATGCCAAGAGCAATATTATATCATTTTCTCAAGCCAAGAACAATAAATTTTCTTCTCAATACTCTTCTTTTGCTGCTGTGTCCAAGTTGAGAGATGAGACTAATTTGAAACAGTCTGAGGAGTCTTCGAGAAAAGTCATGTACTTGAATTGTTGGGGTTCTTGATTCACTGAATTTGAGCCCCAAAGCTTAAATTTTTGTAGATATTAAGGTCAATTTCCATGACCAAATATACTTGCTATCTATTTCTTTATCACATTTTGTCTTCTGATTTTGGCTTATTTTTTTCTCTCTTTTGTTGTGGGAATGTTACCGGAGGTCCATAATAATTAAGCAAAGGGAAATATATGCCATTACCTTTCAGGAATTGAACTTGAGATTATTCTATATCTAATATTGAACATGGATGACTTTTTTGACAAGTGGTAACAGCCACGGTACTAGAGTACTACACATCAGTTCTAAAAATGATCAAAGTTTTACGAGTTTTTGTACTTTTTATCTTTCAAACTTTTGAGCCAACGACAATCTTTTTGTTTTCCGAATTTTTAATTAATATGACCACTTTTCAAATGAAAACCTTTCATAAATCAGGAGCTCATGTATAGGAAATTAGTGTGATCAAAACTACTTTTTTCATAACGGAAGTTACAATTCCTGTCTAAATTAGTAAACCAATATTAGAGATCAGCGAAATTAACGTTAGAAGTTCATGATTAATTACAGAGCAAATTTGAACCAACAGTAATGAATAATTTGTGTCGCAACAAAATTAGTGACAGTGGAATTACCACGTCAAGTTCATGTCATACCATTTGTAAGAAATTATAGACACTATCAGTATGCAGAAGATAAGAGTTAGCAAACAAATGACTGAGGATCTGATTCTATCAAATCAATTAAGTAGTCTAGATAGTGATATAGCAAGCTTGATCCAAGAGTGTAGGTTTTAAGGGATTTGAAATCAAGAGTCGAGATTTGATTAGAGGACAAAGGAGAGCCAAAATTAGCACCACAAATAGGAGAAGAAGACGAGAAGGATGTTCTCTCATGCAAGCAACACATCTGTCAAGATAATAAGATGTATTAAGGGCTCGTTTAGATTGGCTTAAAAAAAGTTATTTTTTATTTATTTAATCTAAAAGCTACTTTTGAACCTGTTTGAATGGCTAATCTTAAAGTGGTTTTGGTTTTTTTAAGCATTTTTAGAATAAGTCATCTCATTTGTTCTTATGAAAAAAGTGCTTAAAAAAGCATTTTTATTTACATTTTTAACCTTTTATTTTTTAACAACATATTAAATATCGCATCCATATCATTTTATTACATTACTTTTATAGCAAGAAGTGCTTTTAACTTTTTCATCCAAACAAGTTCAAAAGGTTTTCTTAGATATAAAAGCATTTTTTCAAGCACTATCAAAATACTAATTTAAAAGCCCTAACTTATGCATATCTTCTTCTACTACTTAAAAACACAAGCACAAACTATTCCAAACAGGCCTAATACTAATACTCGAATTATTAGTAAGAGAGGAAATGGAACGATCTTAGGTTTTTAGCAATTTTTTTTTTTCAATTTAGTCCCTCCCTTCTTAAGCCTTGTCTATAAATAGTTTGGGTAGAAACACACTTTTCTCTCCCTCTTTTTTCTCCTCTTAGCCGCCCCTCACTCACCCTCTTTCTCTCAAATTTTTGAGATATGTAGGCAATATATCATGATTTTTAAGGTTGGATTGACTTTTGTCATGAATATTAAAACTATTATAAAATATACCACAATAGCATCATTTATGTTTTGTATACTAAGTAAAATTATACTCATACGTTTGTGCATTTCATTCACTATCTTTGAATTTTGTGAGAGTTTTGTCCTTTTTATGCATATATTTGTGATTTTTATAGATTTTATGATTTTTAAGTATCTTTAATTGTGACATTATCTATAATAATTTATGTTTACCGGCATATGTGAATCAAAGCCTGAAACTTATGACGTTCTTGTAAAGTTATTATATTGTCCATGCAAAATAAATTGATTTTCTTTCTTAAGATATCTATTGATTAATAATTAATATTTGTTATACTTAATTTTCTACAAATAAAATTTTTAAAACCGATCAAATCAATGACTCATATTTGATATGAGAAACACAAACAAATAAAAAGAGAGCTCCTTAGCTTCTTGTGCGATGCATACAAGCGCCTCAAAAGCGTCCAATGGCCCTCGCGTAAGTGCGCATAAGCAGTGGTGAATTTAAATACAACTCATAAAGGATTACCGTTTGCATTCAAATATTTTTAAAAAAAATATTACCTTTAAAAGATTTTAAAATTTTATATTTAAATTCCTATTAAAATAATATATATTCTCACTAAAATAAATATATTTTTTATATGCCCCAAACTAGTTACTTTACTCTTTTGATTTTTGACTTTTTATTTACCTCATCTTTCATTGGTCGTAAGAAAGAGAAAGTTCTGTTTCAGCAAAAAAAGAAAGAGAAAGTTCCGAGAAAGTAAAGAGAAAGTTGGAGATAAAGAACTTGTTTATTTTACCGTCGAGTTTTCAGTTTTAAATTTTTATAATAAAATTTTTTTAAAAAATGTCACATCTAACTTTTTCTGTTACAGTAAAAAGCTCTCAAAAAATGTCACATCTCAACTCGAATTGAAAACTCGAATCCGCAAAGTGAACGAGGCCCAAGACAATTTATGGTTCATTGAATACTTGTTTGTCCAAAGTGGTCCAAGCCGCAGCGTCAATTTCAAGTCTTCAAGAGGTGGATTTTAACATTTTGACATCAGGTAACTTTCAAGAAGACAAAAACCATGCTTTCCTTTTTTAATTAGGTATATATACATATATATATATATATATATATACGTAATATTTTGAGGACGTTGTTGTTCATTTCGTTGCTTTAGGAATTTGAGCCCCATAATACCATTGTAAATGGTTTTGATGTATTGGGTGACAATGACATCTGTGTAAATGGTTTCAATGTATTGTTGGGCGACATTTTATTACATGATTTACATCTGTGTATTGGGCGACAAAAATAAAATCCATGCTTTTCTTTTTTTAATTAGATATCATGGTAAATGGTTTTCTTTTTTAATTAGCTCTTCCAAGCCTGAAGTTTTTTTTTTTTTTTTTTTTTTAGTTTGAAATATTTTTTTAGCAAGTTATATAAGTTTTTAAATGATTATAACTTATTGGGATTCATTAATAATATCATTATCAATTTTTTTCTTTACAACAGCAATGTGGAAGTTTTTGAAAAGAAAGTCAGATGAGACAACACTTCCTAGTCCTAGTGAAAAAAATAAAGTTACAAAAACTTGGGTGGAGTACAACCCTGCAAATCTCCCAACAAATCCTGGATTGAGGCCTTCAATTTTGGATTACAGTCCTAATGTTCGAGATGAAGTTTAAAGAAAATATATGAATAATGGTCCTTGTCAGCGTTCAAAGCATAATTTTCCATTGAAACAATTTGGAAAAGAAGTAAGAACATTCAATCCTGATTGGTTTAAGGAATGTTCAAATTGGCTAGAATACAGTATATCAAAAGTTGCTGCATTTTGTTTGTGCTGTTATCTTTTTAAAGAGAATTTGGCTAAAATAACCGAGTAAAAAAGTAAAATTAAGAAAATGACTTTTTAATTTTAATTTTATTTATTTTATTTGAATAAATTCTTAATTATATAATTAAGTTCTATTATTAACAGAGGTGGTCTCCTTCCTGAGCTCAAATACCAAATTCGAGCTCTCCTTCTTCTCCTCCTTTCTTCGAGCCTTCACGAATGACCAAGAAGGCAAGAGAACGACCTAAAATCCTCATCCCCCTCTCTCTCCCCCTTCAAAACCTCTGAGATCTCCTCTTCCCTTATGCTGGAGTTTCCAAATTTTGTTCTCCAAAAAGTTCTAATAATTTCTTCTTCTTCAAAGCACTTAATCAAACAAAATATGACAAAAATTTCTTCAATCTTGCGGATCTAGAGCTTTGATAGCTGGGGAGAATGAATGTGAAGAAATCAAAAAAATTTGCCATGACTGAGCACTTCGTGAGGGAGGAGAAACGAAGCTAGCTTCAGGGAGGGTTTTGGGTTCCTTTTTTTTCGTTTTTCTTTCTTCTCAGAAAGTCATTTTGTAAATAAAAATTTTTGAATTGTCATTTTATGAATAAAGCTTTTCTATTAGATTATTTTTACAAAGTTGTCTTTTTTAAATCATGTAAAGGGGAGCAAGCAAGTGGTGACTCCTTTTGTTGGAGGTCCCAATAGTGCTCATACTGAAACTTGGAGAAAGTGTGAAGCCGTGATGAATCAAGAGCAACATATCGATAAAATTATGGAAAATTAAACAACACAAGCTCTAAAACGTCATGGAGACACACGTTGGGGCTCACACTATGGTACGTTAATTAGCTTGATTACCATGTTTTCATCTATAGTTGAAGTCCTTGAAATAATTGTTGATGATGGATTGAGTTCTGAACAAAGATGTGAAGCAAGCAATTTATTGGATTCGATCCAATCATTTGATTTTGTGTTTAGTATTCATTTGATGAGAAATATATTAGCAGTTACGAATGAGCTGTCAAAGGCATTGCAAAGAAAAGATCAAGATATTGTGAATGCCATGAGTTTAGTGAAAATATGCAAACAAAGGTTGCAAACGATGAGAGATAGTGGGTGGGATTCTCTTTTTGATCAAGTCTCTTCATTTTGCCAAAATCACAACATTGATATTCCCAACATGAATGACATCTTTAGAGCGCAGGGTAGATCACGACGCAAAGCTCAAGAAGTTACAAACTTATACCAATTTCACGTGGAGTTATTTACTCTGTCATTGATATGCAACTTCAAGAATTAAAAGATCGTTTCACTGAGGTAAATACTGAGTTGCTTCTCTGTGTAGCTTGCTTATGTCCAGTGATTCATTTGTTGCTTTTGATAAGAGAAAGTTGACTGAGCTTACTAAGTATTATCCCGAAGATTTTTCTATGGCCGAACTTATGATCTTGGAGAATCAACTTGAAATTTATATCATTAATATGCGCTCGAATAAAGATTTTACTGGATTGAAAGGTATTAGTGCTCTTGCACAGAAAATGGTTGAGACAAGAAAGAATAATGTGTATCCATTAGTTTATT